ATGGACATGGGCTGCTTTCCCAGTTATTTGGGTCTTTCTACATTTCTTTCAACAACGTTTTGTAATTTGAAGAGTATAAGTTTCACATTGTTTTTTTTTGTTGTTGTTGTTAAATGTATTCTTATCATGATGCTTTTGAAAATGGATTTTTTTTTCTTTTTTTTTCTGGATTGCACACTATTAGTGTATATAAATATAATTGATGTTTAGATATTGATTTTATATTCTGCAACCTGCTGGACTCATTCAGTCTATCCTTTTTTCAGATTCCATTTAAAACTCTGAAAGGACACCAGCACATTGTGAGTTCCTGTCACTTCTGTGTGGATGACACAAAGGTCCTCAGTGGCTCCTATGACAGCACTGTGAAGCTGTGGGTAGGTGGCCTGGTGTTAGATGGAACCAAAACATCCCATACGCTTATGTCACTCCTTGTAGGGAGTTCTCCAGTACTGGGTTCCCAGACACTCAAGGATCCTAGGTTTGGAGGGGCTTCCCAAGCAAAGTGTAGGAAGAAGAAGCAAAGCAAGGGCTCTTCCTAGTGCCAAGTCACCAGAGATAAGAGGTTAGGGTAGCTGCTGTCAGCCTGTTGATTTGGAAACAGTGGGAGCAGGGAAGAGAGGCCACTGAACTGGGAGCTCCCTACCTTTTGCTGGACGAGCCCAGCTGTGCCTTGCATCTAGCTGGGGTCTCTGAGCTGTGCCATCTCTCTGGGTTGCCTACTCATTTGAAAAATGAAGTTCCAGAGGTAGTATGACCAGGCTTGGATGGTCACAGAGGACAGAAAAGTGGGCAGGCCTGGGACATGTCCATGAGGAGTGGTTGGGAGAAACAGGCTTGACACAGATCAGTACCCCAAGGTGCAGGAAGTAAGGGTGCCAGGAATAGGCGTGATGATGAGGCTGGAGAGAAGTGGACACCTAGAACTCTCCTGAAGCCTCTGGGCATAGCCAGCAGACCCTGACAGGCCTGTTTGGGGCATTACTGGTCAGACAGGAGAGGGCTAGGAGGAAGCTGGGCTGTAGAAAGACAATGGCTATCAGGGGTCTGTTCAGAGATGACCATGTGCCTGGGGATGGGCCCATGGGAGAGGATAGTCAGTTCTGAGTTTTTCTATCTCCGGCATCAGGAGCAAGAGGGGGACATGGTGGAGGGAGTCAAGGCTGACTTTTGGGTTCCATTTGGGTAACTGGGTGGAGGATAACTCCCTACACTCCAGATGACATTGGAGGAGCATCTCCTGTGTCATCAGTGGGTACCAAGGCCAAGTGGACTAAGCGGGAGGGTGTGGGGGCTGTCCATGGGTGGGTGGTTCAGGTCCCCCACTTGGAAACCCCAGCTGAGGGACCCTGGGTGGTTTCATGACCTCCTGAGCCTCCTTGACTCTCCCTGTGCCTCACAGGACAGCTGTCTCAAAGACGTCTGCTCCCCATCTCTGCTGCGGCCCTTACAAATTCCCCCTGACTCCAGCCACACGGTCTCCTTGTTGGGAAAACTGGTCCCTCTGGGAGTCTGAAACTCTTTTCCAACCCTTGGGGGTGACTGAGAAGCCCAGGGCAAGGGGGTCCCTTCTGATTGTCATCACCCAGGAGAAGGGGGCAGTGACTTTCCAAGTGTGCATTTTGCTTTGCCATCTTCAGAGGCTTCCCACGTTCTCACCTCTGGAGCCCGTGGAAGAATGCACACGGGTTTTTGTCTGTTTTGGCCAAAGGGCTCTTGGCTCTGTAAGGGGAAATAGGGCTGTTTTCTTTTGCGTCAGGTTTGGGGCCTGGTTTGGGGACAGTATATACTCTGTCCAGGGCGCAGTCACTTGGGCCTGGAAACATGCGGCGCCCACAGCCCTGCCCCCTCTGCCCTTGTCTCCAGGCTGCCCTCTCCCACCGCCTGCCTTCCCCCTTGCCCCCAGTAGCAGAGCTGCCGGTTCTCTGCTCCCCTGGCTTGGCTGGCCTCACTGACGCCCTCTCCAGGAGGTGCTCTTTCCTCCTCCTGTTCTCCACCTTCTCCTGCCTCCGTCTGCGGCTCTCCTTGTCCCACTGCAGCTTCTCCCTCATCACCCTACGCATGGCCTTCCCCGATCACCTATCTTCACCAGAATGTCCCCTCGCCTCTCTTTTCCCTCCCCGACTCCCTTCACCTCCCATCTCTAGTCCTGCCTCTCAACCCTACCCAAAACCCAAACATTGGACTTAATCTTCCCCCCAGTTCCCCCCAATGTATGAAGACGATGGGAAAAAAGTCATTCTTAATCCCACACCCAATCTCCCACCAATATATTGGCACACCTCTTTCCAGTCATTTAAAAAATAACTGAAAGTTTATCTTATATTACAAAGGTGATATGGTTTTACTACAGAAATACATAAAATTACAAAGAAAAAGAATCAACCATTTCATGACCTTGGAGTTAACTGCCATGAAAATCTTGGAGTGTATCTATTTTTTTTCTTGCTCATGCATGTATACATGTGTCCAAAATCAAGACCACACAGAAATACTGTTTGTATAACCATAATAAACTTGGGTTGCAAATATTGTCACATCTGCCTTATTTTTCCAACTATTTAGGAGCCCCCTTTTTCCCATTCATTCATAATCTGACCAGTATCCCCTCTTAAATTATCTCAGTCCACAGAGGGTGTTCCCGCTTCCAAATGCCAGGCGAAGAGGGAGCCATCTTTATTTGTTTATTTTTCCACACCCTTGGCCAATGGCTCATTTATTTTAAGAAACATTCAATGCAAAACAGAGACATTTCCACTGTCTTTGGAATTCACTAGCAAAATCTGGCTTGTGTCACCATATAGCTCTTGCTAAAGGATTCATTTCCCTGACACCAGTACACATTTCCCAAGAGGGTTCCATCCATGGTCTCTGTTGCTATGGTGTGTGGTGAGCCTTTTTATGCAAAATTCTTTAACCACAATTCTATTCTTTAGGAGAGACCTCTCAGAGTAGAATTGCTGGGTCAAAGAGTGTGAACTGTTCAAAAGTTTTTGAAAACAGGCTGCTAGATTCTGCAAAGCCCTTTTGGCCAGTAGAGGATGAGAAAATTACCTGTTTGCAGCTCTGCCCCCAGAGTGGCCATTTCCCTCTGGTGCCTGTGGAATTGAGGGTGTTTTCTGGGGATGCTGTTCATGGCGGAGTGTCTTTCCTGCTTTGGGGAGAGGTTGGGAAGTCCTTTGCCCTTAGGAGCTGGGTGAGAGTTGGGACCATGGGTTCTCATGTTTGGCTGCCTCAGATAAGCTCAGGGCCGATGGTAAACTGGGTTCCCAAGCCCAGTCAACGCCCCAGTGACCTCTCCCTCTCTCCCCCCGTCCCTCCTGTTCATCTGAGGATGCTGTGGACGGGTCTGTCGTTCGGGAGTTTGAGCAGGGGCCCAAGGCTCCCGTTTCGGAGTGCAGCGTCACGGCTGACAGCAGAAGGTAGCCTTTCCCTCGTTTCTCCACCGGGAAGAGTGAGAGGTGGGCTGGGGTGCTGCACGTCAGGGATGGATTTTTTTTTTTTAAGCAGAAACACTCCCATGTATGGCCTCATGGTTTCCATATTTTTGCTGTGAGAATCGAGAGGAAGTGGCAACTCTTTGAAATTTTAAGTGCTAAAAAGACAAAATCTATTGTGGCTTAGGCAAAGCCAGTCTGAGTTTTTGTCACAGAGTTTCTTTATGGTAGTTACACCTGTGGATTGTTGCGGCTGCAAGGGGCCTTATCAATTTGGTCCAGGTCTGCACTTCACACAAGGGAAACTGAGGCCCAGGAGGCAGAGGCCTGCCAAGCTGTCACCTGGGATGGGGTGGGGTTGGGAGGAAGCAACGCACTGACATGAGCCTTCGGGATGCATTGCTTGAGCCTCCTCACACAGATGTGAGTGTGGCCTTTAAAAGACAAGGGAATTTGCTTTAAAATAGCTTTACTTTTACCCAGAGCAGCAGTTACAAAACTAGTATGCTAGTAAAAATTAGTATAGGTCTTTAAGTTTCTCAGGAATTTATCTTTATTATAATAGAGGACAAAGGTTGCCACAGAAAAACATACAATCTAAGAAAAGTACACTTAGATTATTATGTGCAAAGGTAAGTTTATGCATTTTGCTAAAAGTATAAGAAAACATTTCCGAATGACATGAGCTAAGTATTTTCCTGTAAAAAGATAGACTTGTAAGCAGAGAAGGAAATGATTGATCCTTGTGAGTGGGAGATATCCCTTTAGAAGAGGACAGCCAATTAACAGAATGGAAGACACAATACCTTTAACACGCTAAATATAAAAGAACACACCTGGGTGGCTGAGGGATTTGGGAAGAGAATAGTGTGGTGCCTTTTGCATTAGGTTCTCTGTGTTTTCAGCAAGGACACAGTGTTCTCCAGGGGGGCTCATGGAGCATCTTTAGAAAGATTTCGGTATTATTTGCAATCTTGGTCTTAAAATTATAGAAATTTTCTATGAAGAATTGTCTATGTCTCTTTTCATAGAAACCATGGGCATAATTTCTGGGTCACTGAGACCCTGTGATTGTCATTTTATTTCCAGAATTACTGCAGCATCCTATGACAAGACACTGAGGGTTTGGGACGTTGAAACAGGCAAACTACTGGTAAGTGCTGTCACAGGGAGTGTCCCCAGGACATGGCAGTTCACTCCTCCAGAGCAAATGATCCAAGAGACAGCAAGGAGGAACCCATCGTGTACCCATGACCTTGTCACACACTGTCACTTCTGCCTTATGCTATTCATTAGAAGTGAGCCACTAAGTCTGGCCCATGCTCACGGGGTCGAGAATTAGGTTCCCCTTCTGGAGGGAGGACTGTCAAAAAGTTTGTGGACATATTTTTAAATTGTCACGACAGCAGTGCCATAATGTCTAACATACAGAGAAACCCCTCCTTTTCTAGAGCTTGTTGTCCCCTTCTTCTGGTTTGATGTCAGCCTCCTCAGTGGACTGTGAGCTGCCCCAGGGGCTGGACTCTAAGTCTTGTTCATGGTGCCAGGCACAGGGCAGACACTCCATAAACACTTGTTTACCAAACTGACCAGGAATAAAATTGGCTGTTCCTAGAACCTGGCTGCCAGTTCCTCTAGGTACTCTCCCTTTCCTTGTCCATCTGTCCTGGTCACAGAGCAATTACATGTTTAATTAAATTAGTTAAAACTAAATAAACTTAACAATTCATTCCCTTTTTGCACTAGGCCATTATAAGTACTCAATGGCCACATGTGGCCAGTGGCTAGCATATTGGATGGTACATAGATAGAACATTTCCATATTCACTGCAAGTTCTGCTGGATCGCTGGGCTAAAGAGAAAACAACCCTTTGATTGTTGCCCTATTCAGTGGAAGACTAAGCATGAAACCTTCGTAGTCTCCTGTAAGTTTTCTCCTGATGGTAAATACGTGGTGTCAAGCTTAGACATGGATTGTGGAATCTGTATCACAGATGCGGAAAATGCCACCACTTTGTCACACGTCAAAGGTGAGTTTGCATGGGCTTCCTGTTCAGCAGCACACCATGCTTCTCCATGCGCTGCCTTCAGGCCTTTGCACTTACTGTTCCTTCTGCCCAGAGCGTTCTTCCTGGCCTGCTTCCTTTGCTGACTTTTAGGCCCTTGCTCACCTCTCAGGGCTGGGCCAGGCTTCTGCTGGCCGGAGTCAGCTCAGGTCTCAGGCATGCTGCAGGTCGTTGCCTGCTCAAGAGTGTCTCCCCATCAGAACGGGAGCTCTGCAAGGACAGGGAGCTATTTGACCAGGCTTCTTGTTCAAAGCCTGGCACATGGTAGGCATTTGGGAAATGTTTGTGTGAGTAAATAGTCCCTTATGAAAACTGGAATTGTTACTCCATAATATTGTTGCTTTCTGGGGAAATAGTGTGAGCCTCTGGGCCACGTGAAGCCTGTGGCCCGAAATGTGGAACATGCCGGAATGAGTCACTTTCCTTGTGCCTCAGATCATCATGAAAGGTCAGTCACAGCATGCTGCTTTGACCCTGACAGCCAGAAGGTGGCCTCCGTCTCGGTGGACAGGAGCATCAAGATCTGGGATGTCACCTCCCAGGCCACGCTGCTCACCATTACCAAGTAAGGAGGGGCCCCGTGGGCACTGGGCAGCACCCTGCATGTAGCAGGGCGGTGGGTGGGAGTCCCCATTCATGTCCTCTTGGATTCAGTCTGCACACCTTCGACTTGCAAACCGGCATCCACGTGAGGCGTCTTTAACTTGGCCATGGGTGCTATGAGGAGGCTGGAGACAGAGAAAGGGAAGGAGCAAGCAGGTTGGGGAAACCACCAGCCATGGCTTGTGGGCTGGGCTGGGCATGGGGTTCATTTGTTTCAATGTGACCAACACTTTGTGCAGAGACCCCACAAAAATACACATTTCCAGAGTCTCCTGTGATATGGGAAGATCTGATAATCCAGGGTCTGCAAGGGTGACCTTGTAGGTAGCCACCACCAGGTGGGTGGCCAGTCCTCTCCTATAGGCCCTGGAGTCAGGATCCCAGAATGTGTACATGCCTGTCACCCGCCTGCTCTGCTCAGTTATGAGCTCTGCCTGCCTGGGCCAGGGTTTCCCATGGGGATCTGGTCGGGGGTGAAGAGTGTGCGGGTCCTCATCCTGTGTGACCTTGGACCCTAGCTTTCTCGCCTGCAAACTGAGCAGAGGTGAGGCCTAAACGACTGGAATTTCTGGGTCGTATGGTATTTCTATGTTTAGTTGGTTGAGGAAGCTCCATACTGTTTTTCATACTGGCTGCCCCAATTTACATTCCCACCAACAGTGCACAAGGGTTCCCCTTTCTCCACATCCGCACCAGTGTGGTTATTTCTTGTCTTGTTGGTATTAGCCACTCTGTTGGGTGTGAGGTAATATTGCATTGTGGTTTTGATTTGCATTTTCCTGATGATTAGTGATGTGGAGCATCTTTTCATGTGTCTCTTTGCTGTCTGTATGTCCTCTTTGGAAAAATGTCTATTCAGGTCCTCTGCCCATTTTTAATTAGATTATTTGTTTTTTGGTATTGAGCTATGTGAGCTCTTTGTATATTTTGGATATCAGATGTATCATTTGTGTATATCTTCTCCTCTGTCATCGTAGGTTGCCTTTAGTTTTGTTGATGGTCTCCTGTGCTTTAGTTTGATGTAGTCCTTCTTGTTTGCTTTTGCTTTTGTTTCTCTTGTGTGGGGAGGCATACCAGAAAAAAAATTACTAATGTCAATGTTCAAGAGTTTACTGTCTATGTTTTCTTCTAGGAATTTTATGATTTCAGGTCTTACGTTCAGGTTGTTAGTCCATTTGGAGCTTTTAAAAAAATCCATTCACTTGTATTTATTTTCTTATTTAATTTCTACTGTGTTATATTTCATTTTATTTTTTAAAATTGCAATAAAGTTGATGTACAATACATTGGTTTCATATGTACAACATAGTGACTCAATAACTGAATACATTACTAGACGTCTGCCACATAGGTGTAGTAACCCCATTATCGTGCCAAGATATTACAATATTGGTTATATTTTCTATGTTGTACTTCCATTCTTATGTCTAACTTATTTTACAATTTGAAGTTTGTACCTCTTTATCCCCTTCACTTATTTCACCCATCCTTCCACTGCTTCTCTATGGTAACCAACATTCTGTTGTCTATATTTATGGATCTATTTCTTTTTTGTTGGTTTTTTAGATTCTACATATAAATGAAATCATATGGCACTTACCTTTTTCTGCCTGGCTTATTTCAGTTAGCATGAGTCTGTCTAGGTCCATCCATGTTGTTGCAAATGGCATGATTTCCTTATTTTTAATGGCTGAGTCATATTCCATTGTGTACATATGCCACATCTTCTTTATCTGTTAATCTATTGATGGATACTTGGTTTGCTTCCATATCATTTGTATTGTAAATAATGCTGCAGTGAACATAGGTGTGCATTTTGAGTTTATTTTTGTGTATGGCATAAGACAGCTATCCAGTTTTATTCTTTTGCACATAGCTGTCTAGTTTTCCCAACACCATTTATTGAAGAACCTGTGCCTTCCCAATTGTATATGCTTGCCTCCATTATCATATATTAATTGAAATGGGTTTATTTCTGGGCTCTCTATTCTGTTCTGTTGATCTATGGGTCTGTTTTTGTGCCAGTACCATACTGTTTTGATTACTGTAACTTTGTGGTATAGTTTTGAAATCCAGGAGCATGATACCCCTGGCTTTGTTCTTCATTCTCAAGATTCCTTTGACTATCTGGGATATTTTGCAGTTAGTTCCATACACATTTTAGGATTATTTGCTCCATTTCTGTGAAAAATGCGATTGGTATTTCAGTAGGGGTTGCATTGAATCTGTAGATTGCTTAGTGTAGTATAGCCACAAAATCTTCTGTTTTAGCAAGCCACCTTATTAGAGCATGGGTGGCAAGTCTAGGCTCCCCTCTTGACCTTTGCTGATGGGGGTGGGAATGGGACTGCAGTTTTCCCCAAGGTGTTTGGCTGGAGTAAGGAGGGTATTGTCTAAAGGTTTCTATCTTGCCAGGTCATCCTATTGGCTAGGGAACATAGACTTTTCTTGGGGGTCTTTTCTGGTGCTCTTTCTTTTTTGGGTAACATCCTTTTATAATATGTGGTGCAGAGTATATGAGCCAAAAAGAAAAGCTTCAGGTCTCACAGCATACCATCCTTGGATCCCAAGATGTCTAATTCATCTGATTTATTTTCTCTACCTTTCATAGTCTTCTGTTTGTTTCATACAATGCTCAGGGTTGTTATCTGTACTTAGCAGGAGGAATAGGGAGAGGTTTGACTCCATCTTACCCAGAACTGCAACATAAGCACTTTCCTCAAACTTTTTTTTCCTAATTTTTTATTAAGGTATGATTGATATACACTCTTATGAAGGTTTCACATGAAAAAACAATGTGCTCACTACATTTATGCATATTATCAAGTCCCCACCCACACCCCAGTGCAGTCACTGTCCATCAGTGTAGTAAGATGCCACAGATCCACTACGTGCCTTCTCTGTGCTACACTGTTCTCCCCGAGATCCCCCACACCACGTGTACTAAACATAATACCCCTCAATCCCCTTCTCCCTCCCTCCCCACCCAGCCTCCCACACCCCTCCCCTTTGGTAACCACTGGGTTCATTCTTGGAGTCTCTGAGTCTGCTGCTATTTTGTTCCTTCAGTTTTGCTTCGTTGTTCTACTCCACAAATGAGGGAAATCATTTGTCACTTGTCTTTCTCTGCCTGTCTTATTTCACTGAGCATAATATCCTCCAACTCCATCCATGTTGTTGCAAATTGTAGGATTTGTTTCTTTCTTATGGCTGAATAGTATTCCATTGTGTATATGTACCACATCTTCTTTATCCATTCATCTACTGATGGACACTTAGGTTGCTTCCATTTCTTGGCTATTGTAAAACGTGCTGCAATAAACATAGGGGTGCATAAGTCTTTTTGAATCTGAGAAGTTGTATTCTTTGGGTAAATTCCAAGGAGTGGGATTCCCAGGTCAAATGGTATTTCTATTTTTAGTTTTTTGAGGAACATCCATATTGCTTTCCACAATGGTTGAACTAGCTTACATTCCCACCAGCAGTGTAGGAGGGTTTCCTTTTCTCCACATCCTCGCCAGCATTTGTTGTTCTTAGTCTTTTTGATGCTGGCCATCCTTACTGGTGTGGGATAGTTTTAATTTGCATTTCCCTGATGATTAGTGATGTGGAGCATCTTTTCATGTGTCTGTCTGAATTTCTTCTTTGGAGAACTGTCTCTTCATATCCTCTGCCCATTTGTTAATTGGGTTATTTGCTTTTTGGGTGTTGAGGCGTGTAAGTTCTTTATATATTTTGGATGTTAACCCCTTGTCGGATATGTCATTACAAATATATTCTCCCATACTGTAGGATGCCTTTTTGTTTTGTTGATGATGTCCTTTGCCATGCAAAACCTTTTTAGTTTGATGTAGTCCCATGAGTTCATTTTTGCTTTTGTTTCCCTTTCTCGAGGAGATGTGTTCAGGAAGAAGTTGCTCATGCTTATATTCAGGAGGTGTTTGCCTATGTTTTCTTCTAAGAGTTTTATGGTTTCATGACATAATTCAAGTCTTTAATCCACTTTGAGTTTACTTTTGTATATGGGGTTAAACAATAATCCAGTTTCATTCTCTTGCATGTAGCTGTCCAGTTTTGCCAACACCAGCTGTTGAAGAGGCTGTCATTTCCCCATTGTATATTCATGGCTCCTTTATCATAAATCAATTGACCATATGTGGTTGGTTTTATATCAGGGCTCTCTAGTCTGTTCCATTGGTGTATGGGTCTGTTCTTGTGCCACTACCAAATTGTCTTGTTCCCGATCTTAGCAGAAAAGCTTTCAGCTTCTCACTGTTAAGTATGATGTTGACTGTGGGTTTTTCATGTATGGCCTTTATTATGTTGAGGTACTTGCCCTCCATACCCATTTTGTTGAGAGTTTTTATCATGAATGGATGTTGAATGCTTTTTCAGCATCTATGGAGATGATCATGTGGTTTTTGTCTTTCTTTTTGTTGATGTGGTGGATGATGATGATGGATTTTCGAATGTTGTACCATCCTTGCATCCCTGGGATGAATCCAACTTGGTCATGGTGTATGATCCTCTTGATGTCTTTTTGAATTAGGTTTGCTAATATTTTGTTGAGTATTTTTGCATCTATGTTCATCAGGGATATTGGTCTGTAATTTTCTTTTTTTGTGGTGTCTTTGCCTGGTTTTGGTATCAGAGTGACACTGGCCTCATAGAATGAGTTTGGAAGTCCCAAACTTTTGTACTAATTAAAATGGTCTTTTATGAGAAGCAGGATTTATTTGGAACAAGAGCCCCATCCTGGCAAATAGAGACAGCTTTGCTTTAACCCCAGTGACAAGTGTCTGGATTCTGGGGAGATAGATTTATCTGTCTCCAATATATGCTGGAGTGGTTCTTAGCCCAACAGGCATGGGGAGTTAGAAAGTTCTACTCTGGACACCGCTGGGAAGTTGACATTTTTTCTCCTTTTATCTTATTCAGTTTGTGCATTTCAAAGAACTATAACAGAGTCCAAAACTCTGACCTGAGCTCCAGTAAACAGTTTTGCCTACCTTTTTCTTCAGGCAAAATGACTGATTTTATGATCCAGACTACTCAGAGATGCTCATTTATGTTTATAGGTTCTCTTGAAAACCCTGTTCAAAATAGGAGATGAGAATCACAGGGAAAATACTTTGACGATCACAAAGAAAACAAAAGGCAACAAAATTCTGAGAGATACTTTTTCTTTTTTTTAAAAAGGAAGACATTTAAAAATGGAGAATGGATACTTGAAAACTTGTTTAATTAAATGCATGACATTAAAATATGTCTTAATGACACTGAAGACAGATGAAGAGAGAGGGAGGGAGAGAAGAAAAAGAGAGAGCAGTTGTGCTGAAGAGAAGTAGGAGGAGTAAGTGAGAGAAGGTAGAGGAGAGGACGGAGAGGAGGGCCGACCTCCATGTCTTGGAGAGGAAGGAGGTGGAGAAAGAGCAGGACAAGCCCATTTTGTGTGATCCAGCACCAAACCTGAAGGGCTGTTATTCCACTAACCACCATTAACAGATTTTCCAGATGCTTTTTTCCCTTAGGCTTCCAGCAGCTTGGAATAGTGCAGTGGGTCTCAGCAGGGAGCAATTTTGCCCTCAGTGGACATTTGGCAATGTCTGGAGACATTTTTGGCTGTCACAACTGGGGTGTGGGGGTCCTGGTGTCTAGTGGGTAGAGCCCTGGGATGCTGCTAAACACCCTACAGTGTATAGGACAGTCCCCTAGCACAAAAATGTCGCTCCTGTCATTGGCTGAGAAAGCCTGGAATAGTGTGACACAGAGCAATTAATGTCTGAACCATGATAGGCAGTGATCAAAGGAGTGGTGTCCCTTAAAACCTGGGGGATCGGCTCCACTGTCCCCCCACCCCTTTAGAAGTGGCCTGGGATCCTGCAGGAGCAAAGTACTAATGTGTGCACCCCTCATTCTGTGTTTCAGGGCACACACCAACGCAATCTCTAACTGTTGTTTTACCTTCAGTGGCCATTTCCTGTGTACAAGCTCTTGGGATAAAACCTTAAAAATATGGAATGTCCATACAGGGGAGTATCGAAACAGTGGAGCCTGTGTGACTCTGATGAGGGGCCACGAAGGTTCTGTGAGCTCCTGCCAGTTTGCGAGAGACAGTGAGTAATTAACACGTAGAAGGGTTCCACACCCACGGGAATGCCAGGGCAGAGTTACTCATGTTCCATTCACATGGATTTTCCTTAGGACAGAAGCAATTTCTGATGATGCCAACAGTGAGGGCGATTTATTTTCTACCAGAACAAAAAAGCCAAAAGGTAGATTCAGAGGCACAAGTTGGCAAGTGATGGGAACTCAGCTCAATGTGGCTTAAGAAACAAAAGTTATTTGTTACCTTTCATAATGAGAAAGTCGAAGGGCAGGTCTCATTTCAGGTGTGGCCAGGTCCAAACACTCAGAAAATACTGTCATGGAGCCAAATTTTCTGCTCCGTCCCTTAGCTTGGCTTCTGTCTTGCATTGGCCTTTCTCCTCAAGGAGGCAAAGATGGCCTCTGGTGGTCCAGCCAATAGTAGTTCTGGCCACTGGCAATCCAGAGGAAGGGAAACCCTCTTTTAGAGGGTGCTGGCACAAGTCCCAGAGCATACTCTTACTGGCTTAGCTTGGCACACATGTTCATCTCTGAACCAATCACTTTAGTGGGATGAGCCACTCTAATTGGTCAGATCTGGGTGACTTTCCCACCCCCAGATCTAGAGTACCCTTCAACCAGAGGGACTGAGAGGGTGAGGGGTGTCTCCCCTTGAGAAACTAGGGAACTGGTGCTGAATAAAGAGGCAAGGATGAGAACAGGGCCATGACAGGATGCTGCCTCAGGTCATTAGCCGCAGGGAGGGAAGTGATGGCTCCTGACACTCAGGAACCAAATATTTGACTCCTCCATCCCGGAGGGAAGTGGGGCTCGCTCTATGGGTGTGGGAAGGCATCTAGCCAGTACACATATAAGCAGGGCCAGATTGAGAAATAGCTAGGGCATTTTCAGACAATGTTCCTTCTTTAGAAGCAGTCTCTGTGGAAGGCAGACCGTGCCATGAGATATCCCATCAGCTTCTGTCCTTTTTTGCCCTCAGAGTTGCATGCGGTCAGTGCACTACTATTCGTAGATTCTGTATTTCAGAATTCGTCTACTGGCTAACATATATTTGTAACTCTTAATCAATAATCAATGCACTTCTGAGTGCAGAGTGGTGACACATTTGAGTTAGCCTATGCACACACTCCTGGCTGAGGACTAGTAAGGTGACCCTCTGCCTTCTTGTTTCAGTATTGTAAAGTGTCCTATTTGTGGCCTATTGAGTGCCACTGCTTTGCATTTTTATGCTTTTTGTTGGTGTTGCCACTGTTTTAAATAACCCCCAATGGCAGTACTGACATACTGTCTAATGTTCTTAAACTCAAGGAGGCTGTGATGCGCTTATGGAGAAAATACATTGTTTGATAAGCTTCATTCAGGCATGAGTTATAGCACTGATGGCCATGAATTTAATGCCACTGAATAAACAGTATGTATCAAATAGAGTGTCTTTCAACAGGAAAGGAAATAAAACAAGGTTATGTATTGATTAGTTAATGAAATGTTGTGACCAGAGGCTGGCAGGAACCTAACCCTGTATTTTCCCTAGAAGCAATGGTTTAGTATTTGCTAATTCGGTTTGGGATGGTTTCACTGAACATTACTACCATGAACAATGAGAATTGTTATTGGTTGGGGGTCGTTAAGACATGCCAAGAAGGGGTTTGAGTGTTCTTAGAGTGAGCCACGGCAGTACCCCCAAAATGAATCCTCAGTCCCCTTTGACCCCACCAGAGGAGGAAGAAGTTGACTGGGGAAGATGACGTCCCTCCTTGCACTGAGACCTTCCTTTTGTGTTACAGCCTCTCTTCTTGTGTCTGGAGGGTTTGACAGGACTGTGGCTATTTGGGATGTAGGAGAAGGCTACCGGAAGCTCTCCTTGAAGGTACCAATGCCAGCGTTACATAGAGGATCTGAGCTTCATTTCATGACACGTTGGGTCCTGGGTGCTAGGGATGCAGTAGTGGTTGAGATACACCTAGATGTCCTCAACGGAGCTGACACCTCAGTGGGGAAGGATGGACAAAAAGCCAACAAGAATTCATCAACAGTAATGCATGAAACAAACCACAACAGGGGGATGTCCTAGAAATAGATTCCAAGGACTAATCCACAGTGGATGAGTAGGGAGGGCTTCCTGGAGAAGGTGGCACTTAAACTGAGAACTGGCAAAGAAAGACTGGGTGAGTGAGGATCTTGGGGAAAGGCATTCTAGGAAGATGGAACAGCAAATGCAAAAACTCAGAGGTGGGCAAGTGTCTAAGAACAGCAGAAATTGCCATGCAGAAGGATGAATGCATAAGGAGGCATGCACAGAAAGCTGTGGGGCTCCAAAATGGCAGGTGTCAACTGAATGCTTTTGGCTACAAGTTAGAAGAGACTCAACTACAAGCGGCTATCTAATAAGGGTTGGATTGTCCTACACATCAAGAATCCAGAGGCTAGGCAGTTCCAGCATTGGCTGCCTTAGTCTTTACACTTTGTGTTTCACCTTAAATGTTGTTGATGACACAGAAGCACAGTTAGTTGTTCTTAAACATAAGCAACACTGGGTTCCTGACTTTGTGCTTTTGTTTATGTTCTTACAAAGGCTTTTCCTCTAGGCCCTCATTAAAATTCTGCTTTCTTTAGGGCCATAATGACTGGGTGATGGATGTTGCCATTAGCAATAATAAGAAATGGATCCTGTCTGCTTCAAAGGTAAAAGTGGCCAGCCTTTGAGTGACTTAAAATCTCTATCGCATTTGTGAAACTTGGTGTTAACAGAAGTGTTAGTGTCAAGTAAAACTCCTGTGTGGGCTCAGTCTGAGGGCCCTGCCTGGACAGGCCATTCCCATCCGGGAAACTGCCTGGAAATATGGAAAGAAGGTCCTGCCATCTGTTCCTATGGGGAGTTGCCAGGTTTTTCTGTGTCTGCATCATTGACATTTGACCTTCGCTGGGACAAGGGCCTACCCAGACTAGTGAGGGATGGAGCCAACAGGGGGTGTGAGAGGGGTCTTGGAAGATGTCAGCTCATGGGTGAGTATCAGAGACCACCCTGAGGTCCCTGGTGGGTCTTCCCTCCCTGCATTACATCCTGGGATTCCTGTGTGAATAGCCCATAACTAATCCAGGATATCCGGAGGGCTGTCATGCAGGTGTGAGTGCCAGAGAAGTTGGGGTCTCACCTTGCCCCCTTTATTACAGCCATTTAATTCCCTGGGCTGGGGATTTCTAGGTCTGTGGACTGTGGGCAAGGCATTGCCCACCATGAGCAACTTGTTAGAGAGCCAACCTCAGACACTGCCACACCTGACAAAAAACTACTAATATAATATGTAATAAAAATGCTATGCCTGAGTGTTAGTGCTTTAACATAAAAGTATGGAAATGATTTTGTCAATTACACATCAGTAAAGCTGAAAAAAGTAAATACACAAAACAAACTGTGAAAAATGAGTGTTCATTTGAAATGATGTCTTACTGTATTTTTTACTTTTCTGCTGTATAAATGCTATTATTTAAAATAATGGATTAGTTAATACAGCAATTAGTAGTAATTAACACTAGAACTAATCAAACAAATATGTTTAAGAAAAACAAAAATATTTTATGTTTCTTTATGTCCTATAATACAGCAATTTATTTGGACATAAAAAATCTTTACTGGATATTTTGTAGGCTATATTAATGTATATTCTTAAGATAACATAAATGTAAGGCTTTGAAAAAAGAATATAAATATAGTATGATTGATTAAATAGAGATTAGTTATATTTATTTATGTATTTATTTTTTCCAGCTTTACAGAGACATAATTGACATATTGTATAAGGTGTGCAACCTGTTGATTTGATATACTTCTATATTACCAAATGATTATCACCATGGTTTAGCTGACACCACCTGCATGTCACAAAGTTATCATTTCTTTTCCGTGGTGAGAATATTTAAGATCTATACGCTTAGAAAATTTCAAGTATGTAATACAGTATTATTAACTATAATCACTGTGCTGTACATTAGACCCTTACTCATCTTATAGCTGGAAATTTGTACCCTTTGACCAACATCTCCCATCTTCCCCCATCCCCATCTCCTGGTAGCCACCACCCTACTCTCTGTTTCTATGAGTTCAGCTTTTTAAAATTCCACAATAAATGATATCATACAGTATTTATCTTTCTCTGCATGGCTTATTTCACTTAGCATAATGGCCACAAGTTTGTTCATGTTTATTGCAAATGGCAGAATTTCCTTCTTTCTCATGATTGACTAATATTCCATTATCTGACTATCTATCTATCTATCTATCTATCTATCTATCTATCTATCTATCTAATTTTCTTTATCCATGCATCTGTTGACAGACTCATAGATTGTTTCCATATCTTGGCTATTGTGAATAATGCTGCAGTGAACTTGGGAGTGCAGATATCTCTTGGAGAAACTGTTTTAATTTCCTTGAGATATGTATATACACACACACACACACACACACACACACACACACACAAGTAAGAATCCTGGATCATATGGTGGTTCTAGTTTTAACTTTTTGAGGCACTTCCATTCTGATTTCCATGGCGGCTGTACCAATTTACATTTCCACCAACAGTGCACATTCCCTTTTCTCCATATCTTTTCCAACACTTGTTATCACCTGTCATTTTGGTGATAGCCATTCTAACAGGCATGAGGGGATATCTCATTGTGGTTTTGATTTCCATTTCTCCAATGATTAGTGATGTTGAGCACCTTTTCATGTATTTGTTGGCCATTTGCATGTCTTCTTTGGAAAGATGTCTATTCATTTCCTCTGCCCATTTTTCAGTTGGATTTTTTTTTGTTTTGTTATTGAGTTGTATGAATTCTTTACGTATTTTGGATATCAACTTCATATCAGATATATAACTTGCAAATATTTTCTCCCATTCTGTAGACTTCCTTTTCATTTTCTTGGTTGTTGCTTTTATTGTGCAGAGCCTTATAGTTAAATATAGTTCCATTTATTTATTTTGCTTTTATTGCTTGTCCTTTTGGTGTCATGTCAAAAAAATTGCTGTCAAGACCAATGTCCATGAGCTTCTTCCCTGTGTTTTCTTCTAGGAGTTTTATGATCAAGTCTTATGTTTGTCTTTAATCCATTTTGATGTAATTTTTGTGAGTGATGTGAGATAGGTGTCCAATTTCACTTTTCTGCATTAGGTTAATTAGTGTTCTCAACACTATCTAAAGAATGAAAAAACTAACCTTTCCCCATTGAATATTCTTGGTTTCCCTGTCAAATATTAGTTGACTGGATATGTGATGGTATATTTCTGAATTCTCTATATTTATGCCAGTACCCTACTGTTTTGATTACTATAACCTTGTAGTATAGCTTGAAATTAACAAGTGTGGTGCCTCCAGATTTGTTCTTCTTTCTTAGAATTGCATTGGCTATTCAGGTCTTTTGTCTGTGGTTCCAGACAAATTTTAGGATTGTTTTTGCTAATTTTATGAAAAATGTCATTGAAATTTGGATAGGGATTGCAGTGAATCTATAGATAGATTTGGGTAGTAGAGACATTTTAATGTAATAAATTCATCTTATCCATGAACATAGGGTATTTTCCATTTGTTTGTCTTTTTAAATTTTTTTCATCAAAATCTTACAGTTTCTAGATCTTTCATTTCCTTGGTTAAATTTATTCCTAAGTTTTTTATTGTTTTCAACGCTATTGTGAATGGGATTGTTTTCTTTATTTCTTTTTCAAATGTTTCATTGTCAGTGTATAGAAACAAAACCGATTTCCATATGTTTATTTTGTATTCTGCAACTTTACCGAACTTGATTAGTTCTAAAAGTATTTTTGTTGTGTTGTTAGGATTTTCTATATATAAGATCATATCATCTGTTAGCAGAGGGAGTTTTACTTCTTCCTTGCCAATTTCGATGCTTTTTATTTCTTTTTATTGCCTGATTGCTCTGAATAGAACTTCCAGTACTATGTTGAAAAGGCATGGTGTGAGTGGGGACCATTGTCTAGCTCTTGATCTTAAAGGAAGAGCTTTAAACTTTTCACTGTTGAGTATGATATTAGCTGTGGGTTTGTCATATATGACCTTTATTGTGTTGAGGTGTGTTCCTTCTATACCTGACTTGATTATTTTTATCATAAAAGTTTGTTTGCCAAATGCTTTTTCTGCATCTACTGAGATGATTATATGCTTTTTATCTTTCATTCTATTAATGTGATGTATGTATCACATTTACTGATTTATGTAAGTTGAATCATCCTTGCCTTCCAGGGATAAATCCCACTTTATCATGGTGTATGATCCTTTTAATATTATTAATATTTAATTCAAAACAATAATGTCCTCATTCAATGAGGCCAACATTATTCTAATACCAAAGCCAGGTAAAGAATCACAAGAAAAGAAAATTACAGACCAATATCCCTTATGAATATGGATGCAAATATGCCCAACAAAATATCAGCAAACAACAGTTCATTAAGAGGATTAATCACCATGATCACATGGGATTTATCCCAGGAATACAAAGGTGGTTCATAACGAGAAAATCGATATAATACATCCTGTTAATGGAACAAAGGAAAAAATATGACCATCTCAACTGACACAGAAAAGGCATTTGACAAAATCTAAACCCTTTCATGATAAAACTCTCAGAAAATTCTTTGACATAATGCAAGGTATTTCTGAAAAACCCATAGCAAACGTCATACTCATTGGTGAAAGAATAAAAGCTTTCTCCCAAGGAAACAAGACAAAAATTCCTGCTTTTGCTGCTGCTATTCAACGCTGTACTGAATGTTCTAGCCAGAGCTATTAGACAAGAAAAATAAATAAAGACATCCAAACTGGAAAGTAAAAGGTACAACTATCTCTGTTCACAGATGGTATGATTGTATACAGAGAAAATCCCCAAGAGTCTGTAAGACAACTATCAGAGACAATAATGAATCCAACACAGTTTCAAGGTACAAGATCAATACACAAAAATCAATTGTGTTTCTTTACACCAGCAATGAAGAATCTGAAAGGAAATTAAGACAGCAATTCTATTTAGAAGGCCACCTAAAAGAATACTTAGGAATAAATATAACCAAGTAGGTAAAAGACTTGTACACTGAAAACTACAAAATGTTGCCAAGTGAAGTTAAAGAGGGCATAAATAAATGGAAAGACACCCAATGTTCATAGGTAGGAAGACATAACATTGTTAAGATTCAGTATTACCCAATGTGATCTACAGATTCAACACAATCCCTATCAAAGTACCAAGAATAAAGTTGAAGGACTCACAATTCCCAACTTTGAAACTTACTATAAATCTATAATAAATAAAACAGGACAGATATATAGACCAATGTAATATATAATAGAAATCCCAGAAATAAACCCTCACATATACAGTCATTTGATTTTCTACAAGGGTGCAGACCATTCAATGGGGGAAAGGACAATCTTTTCAACAAATAGTGCTAAGAAAACTGGATATCCACGTGCATAAGAATGAAATTGGACCCATACCTTACACCTTATACAAACATTAACTCAAAATGGATCAAAGACCTGAACTTAAGAGATAAAGCTACAAAATTCTTAAACATTGGGGAAAATATTCATGGCATTGGCCTAAAAAAATGAGTCCATGGATATGACAATAAAAGCATAGCCAACAAAAGCAAAAATAAATAAGTTGGACTTCAACAAAACAAAACTTTTGTGCATCAAAGGATACTATCAAGAAAGTGTAAAGCAACCTACTGAATGGGAGAAAATATTTGCACATCATATATCTGATAAGGGATTAGTATCCATAATATGTAGAGAACCCCCAAAATGGGCAAAGGACTTAAATAGACATTTCCCCAGAAAAGATAGACAAATGGTCAATAAGCACATGAAAGATACACAACATTGTTAGTCATTTGGGAAATGCAAATCAAAATCACAATGAGGTACAACTTCACACCTACCAGGAGGTCTATAACTAAAAAAATGGAAAATAACAAGTGTTCTTGTTATTTTGACAAGGTTATAGAGAAACTGGAACTGTTGCACATTGCTGATGGGAATGTAAAGATGGTACAGCTGCTGTGAAAAACAATTTGGCAGTTTCTCAGAAGGTTATACATAGAGGTATCATATGATCCAGAAATTCCATAATTCCAGTATATACCAAAAGAACTGAAAGCTTGAACTCCAGGAGATTCTTATGCACCCATGTTTATAGCAGCATTATTCACAATAACCAAAAGATGGAAGCAATCCAAATGTCCATAAGCAGATGAATGGATAAACAAAATGTGGTATATACATACAATGGAATATTACCCTGCTTTAAAATGAAAGGAAATTCTGACACATGGTATAATATGGATGAACCTTGATAACATTACACTAAGTAAGTCAGTCACAAAAGGACAAATATTGTACTATTCCCCTTCATGAAGTACCTGGAGTTGTCAAATTTATAAGGACAGAAAGTAGAATGGCTGTTGCCAGGGCTGGGGGAGGAAAGAAGGAGGGTTATTGTTTAATGGGTATGTATTTTTTGTTGGGGATAATGGAAAACATTTTGGTATAGATAGTGGTGATGGTGACAAAATATTGTGAATATGTTTAATGTTACTGAATTATACACTTAAGAATGATTACTATTATGTTATGTGTGTTTTACTACAATTAAAAACCCCAGCAATGACATATTTCTCTCTGTGCCATATAACAGTAGGATATGTTTACTTCTCTGTTTCCTTTTCCAGCACTACTTCTCTGAATTGCCTGAGGACATCTTTCTTCTCTTTTATGTAGTGTGAGTCCTCTTATGTTGTTCTTGTTCAAGACTGTTTTGGCTATTTTGAAGTCCCTTAAATTTCTATATGAACTTAAGACCAGTTGATTAAGTTCTACAATGAAGTCATCTGAGATTTTCACAGGGATTTTGTTGAATCTATGTAACATTTTGGGGGTTAATTATTGTCATCTTAGCAATATTAAATTTTCTGATCCATTGAAAACAAGATGTCTTTCTATTTATTTTTGTCTTCTTTAGTTCCTTGCAGATATTTTTTAGCTTTTGGTCTATAAGTTTTGCACTTCTTTTGTTAAATTTATTGCTAAGCATTTATTCTTTTGATGTTATTCTAAATGGGGTTGTTTATTTAATTGCACTTTCAGGTTGTATATTGCAAGAATATAAAAATACAATTGATTTTTATATATTGACTTTATATCCTGCAATCCTGCTGAAATTACTAGTTCTAATAGCTTTTTTGTTGATTCCTTAGGATTTTCTATATGTAAGGTCATGTAATCTTCAAATATAGATAGTTTTACTTCTTTTCCAATCCAGATGTCTTATATTTTATTTTCTTTCATATCACTGTCTTTGGGGAGATAAAAAAACTTCTGATTGATTTGGAAGAACTTGCTGTCTCAGTTCAGACTCGTAAGACTTAGTGTCCATGTGTACTTTCACATTCCCTTTCCACCATATGGAAGCCCAAATTCTTTTCCTCGTATCATGTGGTATTCTTTGTTCTGGTTATTTACCCCTCTCATCAGCTTTTACATGTCTGTATCTGTAATTATTCTCAGTTTCATTATTTGAACTCTTAGAAAACATGACCACAACATTCACAATGTTAAAATTTTTACCAGCGCTATCTTGAAAAAGCAAACAGTTAATCAAGGTAAAATCAAAGACAGACTGTTAACACTCCTAATGACAATGCAGTTAAACTGAATATTTAAATTGCATCACTGGGAGTGAATCACGGTAATGGATTTAAAAACCCCAGCAATGACATATTTCTTTCTGTGCCATATAACAGTAGGATATTTTTACTTCTCTGTTTCCTTTTCCAGTAGACATTCCTGTAAAATGCAAATTGTGAAAAATAGTGACAGCAACTATGGAAGCTGGGTCATCTATCCATATCCATTTGGCATTGGAAACAGTTCTGCTTTCAGTTCGTATTTTGGGGGCCACTGTGTGGGTTTTGTTCTTTTTCCCCAAACTTCTACACCCACTGCTGAAGAAAGAGCCTTTTTAAACCCTGAATGGGTTTTGCCATGATGTGGGATTTTCAGTGCTAAGTCTGGGCTGGTCCTGGAGAAACCAGGACAGTTGGTCACCCTAACGCTGCTCCTCTGCAGGCTGAGGTTCTCCGCATGGAACCTGGATGTGATACACCTCTCTGGTCCTCCCAGCCTAATGAGACCATTTTGTGACTGCTGGTTTAACTTGTTTTAGGATAAGACCTTGAGACTATGGAATATTGAAGAAATTGACCAAATTCCTTTGGTAATCAAGAACCGAAAGACCCTGGGCCTAAAGGTGAAACAGGTTGGTATTGGGTAAAATTAAACTCAGTGAAGGCTTTCATTAGTTCCCTCTATAAATTAATTTATTCTCTGGACAAACAGTGGGTAAAACCATGAAGCAAACAGATTGAAATTCTTGCCCGGAGAAAGCTTATGTTCTAAAAGGGGAGAGAATGATTATAGAAACAAGAAAAATATGTAATAAGGTACTCTGCACTAAGTAGTTTGGAAAATAATAACATGGGAAAGGGAAATGGGAGTTCTGGGGGCTGCAACATTTTAGAGGGTGGTCAGGATCGTCTCACTGAGAAGGTAGTGAGGGGGTGAGCCGTGCAGGTGTTCAGGGGAAAACGTTCCCAGCAGAGAGAACAGCTGGTGTGGAGACCCCGAGACAAGAGGGAGCCAGGTGTGTTTGAGGAGCGGAGTGAGTGAGGGGCAGTGGGAGGAGAGGAGGCTGAGGGAGCATCTCCAGAGGAGAAATGGCTGCACACACTGCTGGACACCGGGTGAGCCTCCTAGGCTTCAGCAGCAGACCCCCTGGCTGGGTCCACATTGCCCCATTTCCCATGGAAGGGGCTCAGCTGTCTGTGTTTCTCTGGTGGAGGGTCTTGGTGGTAGGGTGGGCCATCTGCTTTGCCAGTTACAGCCAAGGCTGGCCACAGAGGCTCTCTCTGGGCAACGGAGGCCAGTCCCTGCAGCCTTGCAGTCAGACAACTGGCTGTCACCTTGAGAGGCCCTCTAGAGTCCACCTTCCCTTGGAATCCTGGCGCCACCCAGGCTTGCCTCCTCTCAGAAGGCCTGGCTGAGAGCCACTGCTTCTGGGAAAGGCTAACTTGGGAAGAGCACTGCAGGCAGGGGGGGTGAGTGGTGGGACCCACGTGGGCCTCACCTTTGTGGCTAGCTGGTCCTCATGGCCTCTGTGGCCTCTGCGGCCTCTGTGGCTGTGCTGGCCCTCAGGCAGGCCTTGGAAGCTGATGAGCTGCAGAGCCGTGCTTGTCAGAGTCCTTCACCTGCCGCAGGAGCTGCCTCCTCTGAGGCCTGTTTTTCTAGGGCTTGGCTGTGGGGACTTATGCCATAGAATAAGAAAAGTAAAGAATCTAATTGCTTTCTTGAAAAAGAAAGGAAAGAAAGAGACCTGCCTGAAGCTGTAGTGAAGATGAGCCCTCTGCAGTCGACTTCCTCTGAATCAGTATGAGACACTTCAGAGACGAGATTTCCCAGAGGGCCGGCCCTGGGCGGGGTCTGCCCCACCTCTCCTGCAGGCCTTGGGCCTCAGAGCAGGCAAAGGGGGCAAAGGCCAGGGGCTCGCCATCTTGCAGGCTTGTCTCAGGCTTGCTGTGGTGAGAACCGCCGAGAGACCTCTGCCCATGGCCCGAGAGCCCACCCATGGTGGTGCTCCTGTTTGTGGGAGGCCGATGTGGTGAGCGAGCTATGCTGCCATATCCACTGTTCTGTGTGCTGTGGCTATTAACAGGCTCAGAGAGGAAGGAAGATGCTCAGCACCTTCATTATCTAGTAAAAATTCTTGCTGTGTTCAGGAATCTTGCCTCCTTGTTTCTCACGGTTCTAAGTTAGGTGTCCCCAGGATGTCAGGGAGTTAGGAGATAGTCTCAGCCCCACAGTCCTGCTCTGGACGGAGCAGAGGATGGGATAGACTCCTACCCACTGCCTCTCCACTGCCAAGTGGCTTACCAGTCCTGCCCCCCTGAACTCCCATGGCAGGGACCATGATATGACAGTACCAGCATAGCTCGTGTGGGGGAAGAGAGGGAGAAGCCTGTGCTCATGCTCTCAGTGGCCTGCAGTTCCCACCCTGTGGGGTTACAGACCTGGTAGAAGAGAGCAGCTCTGACCTGGGCTGTTCAAGGTGGTTGGATCAGGTGGGAAGGTTCACACTGCCTGCCTTGTTCCCCTCTGACCACCACCTCTTTTCTGCCCTTTTAAAATATTTCATGTCAGTGTGAAGGATGTGACAGGCCTTTCTCCACCTATGAAACTGATGTCTTTTCTGAAACAGTCAGCAAATGTGTGTTCTGCCGGATGGATTCAAAAGACTTGTCAGCAGAGACCTCATCATCAGGAGAGGATTCACCGGCAAAATGGTGCAGCCCAGGCAGTGCTGACTGATGGCCATGGGGCCTTCTGAGCACAGGCCACCTGCTATGTAGGTTTCTGCGCTTTGCAGGGACCTTTCTCTGGGGTCCCTCCCTAGCCAGGTGGGCCTGTCAGACTGGGGCAGGTGTTGAGCCCTGGCTGGGTTCCCACCACCATGACACCTCAGCTCCACAGCACTCTTGGGGATCAAACACTTTGGTTTTAATTTTTATGCAGAATAAATTTAGATTCCTTTAGAAAACAGGTGTGCAAGTGAATTCTAGAAGCATTTTTGCTATTTCTAAACTTAATTTCCTGGTGTTCATCCTGTCTCATTTTTGGAATACATTCTGGACCCACACTCTGGCCCATGTGTATGTATGGCTGTCTTCTGCTTCCACAGCATATGATACAACATAAATCAACAACTACAGAAAGAGCAAAGGTTTTCATTAACAAACATGAAGGGCTCCCTTTGCCATGGGGCATGGCTCACATGATTTCCATCAAATATCATTAGTATTGCCCCTTGGCCTGTTTTAAAAACTTAATTACAGGACTGATCTATTTAGTGTCAGTTGACTGGCATCCAATAATTCTGTCCATGAGCACCATAACCTGGTAGTCATTATGTGAGCAGGTTCAGTGCTTGATACTGCTGTCCTCGGTCACAACCCTGCTGATTGCTCAGACTCAAGCTGGCTGTTCAGTATTTGTCCACTGATTTACGTGAATGATATATGAACGTGACAAAACTCCATGCCCTATGGCTAGAGGTCTCTCTTCTCTGTGAGAGAAGACATGCATAGATGTATTCTTCCCCACTGCTGATGAGGAAGGCTGAGCTGCATACACCAACAGTGTATGGGCACATGGGTTCTCAGAGGTTTTTTTGCCATTACAAATAATATTGGCAGGACCCTTCTTGTGCATGCATTTTTTTGTAGAGACATTTCTGTGGATGCCAGCAGAGGAGTGGCTGGGTGAATGTGAAACAGGATAGGAAAGAGCAAGAGGGACTCCACTTAAAACTGAACTTCTGTCTTGGGGCTTAAAGGTTAAAAGGAAAAAGCTAGAATGACTTTAAAAACAAAGAATTTCCATTAACCATCCTTATGACTAACAATAAATTGACCATATTTTATAAGCTAGAACAAACACTCCCAGGAATTAGTAATCAGTCCCTGTTTTCACTAAGATCATTACCTTTAGTGAAGAATTTACAAAATTCTTTTGTGTTGAGCTTATCCAACAGAAGCATCAAAAAGGAGGCCCTGACCATATTTTGGGCAAGTCAGTGGAGCAATGTTTGCTGACCATGGAGTGGGCACTACTAGAAAGCACATAGTGGAGATAGCATCATGAGATAATTCGTTAATGCCATTCCTTCCCAGACCCCTTACCCTCTGAAACTGCCTTTTGTAAGCCAGTTTGCACAACTCGTTGCAGGAGCTCACATTCCTTTCTTGTCCGCTCCCTTGTATACAAGCTATCTCTAATAAACGCTGCCTGTATGCTTTTATATGAATTCAGTGTTTATTTCCCAAACACTGAAACTCAAGAACCTGGTCTTTGGGGGTCCAGGAACAAACGGATTATCAATGCTTGGTTTTGTTGTTGATCGAGGCCTCTAAAAAGTTTGGGACTAAGTGGCTGATGTGTCTCAGTGAGGAGACCCAGAAGGGGCACGTGAGAAGCCTGGATGGGGAGGACCTTGCCATGCTCCGGCAGCAGAAACCTTCCCACGTGCGATGGTGCCGCTCCAAGGCCAGAAGACCTGGGCCCATGAAGCTCTGGATCTCTCAGTGCCTGCTCTGGGCTCCAGGACTCTTCCTTGGCTCAGGGTCCCGGGAGAAGCGGCCTAGATGAAGCTATGGGTATGGTCTCAACAGGCGGTCGGATGATCCCAGGGTGGGGAAGGCGGTTGACCCCATGTTCTGAGTGCGGTCCCGGCCGCCAGTGCCCTGGCTCCGATGCATGGGCCCCGCGGGATATGCGCCCAGACCGTACGCCCGGGGAGCGGGCAGCCCGGCCGCACTGGAGCGGCGGGGGGTTGGCTCGCCGGTCAGCGTGGGGCCTTTCCGGGCGCCCCTTCTGCAGGGAAGTAGGCCTGGCCTTTGGGCAAGCATTCCTCCAAGACCGGCCACTTTGGCTCCACACCCGGGCGCGCACACTACAGAAGCCCAAGCGACCGGTCCGCGGAGAACCCGCGCACTGCGTACCACCCAAATTTTCGGCCTTCACCTCCAGTCAGTGGCCTCAGATCAATCACCCCTGGAGGCGGTTCCCACACTACGCACGCGCTGGCCACTGATATAACTTGTATGCATGTGCGCAGAGGATGGAGTAAATGCTGATAAGGAACAAATTCTGGCCGTGTTCTTGCGGGCGGCGCCGTGGCTTAGTTGGTTAAAGCGCCTGTCTAGTAAACAGGAGATCCTGGGTTCGAATCCCAGCGGTGCCTTACCAGAGCGCGGAGTTAGTTTTACCCAAGCTCCCTTTTGCTCTAGAGCGCTCCTACCCCAGTTTCTCCTCAGTTTGGGGGTGTAAGAGTGCTCCTGAAGATCTATTTTAGCCAGGCTCCTGCCCGCGAAGAGGGAGTTGGGGTAATGGGCCTCCTCGGACTACGCCTCGCGCGCGCCCGCGAGATGCAGGGTGTCCTCGATTTGAACACTACAGGAGGGCTCTCCTGTGCGCGGCGCGGGGCTCCCCGTTGTTCTGGTACGCGAAGGGCTGTAGAAACACGCGGGCGGGTGATGTCCGCGGCCAGGGACCGGAGGTTGAAGAAGCCCCACGTGGTTAGCGAGGAACGGATGTGCCCCGCGGCTGCGTTGGGGAGGCGAACCGGGCTCTGCATTTTTCCGGGAAGCAGCCGAGGACGCCTGGCCTAGCGCCCCAGTCCTGCTGACCGACTCCTCCCTCCAAACTGTGGCCGGTGTCACACGGCACAGTTGAAGAGTGGGCTTGGCGAGGCCAAGTGAGGCCCGAAGTCGCTGGCCCTAATGAGATGTGGCCAGTGTGATTCTCAGGCCGATGGAAGTATGAAAACAACCGGAGGAACGAGCAGATGGGATTCCCTGTGCTGTTTAGAGACGGCTTCTCCTGAGGACCAGAGGCTATGTGTGAGGCTGACCCTTAAGGTCCGGGGCGTGGCTGCTAATCTCTGGGGGTGTACAAATATACGGTTTGGGGCCTGACTCGGAGCAATTGCATCTGAATCTCAGGGAGTGCAGTGAGGCATTGCAATTAAAGCCGCCCAAGAATTCATGTCAAACTCAACAAAATTCATGTCGATGCAACAGGACAATCCGAACGAGCTGCCGAAATTGCAGTTATGGTATTAGCCTGTGCTCCTAGTAGTCAAATTCACCTGCCCCAGGAAGCACCTCTTCTCTCTGTCCCTCCCATAGTCTGAGTTTATTGTCTGCTTTTTCTCTATTTTGGGGGTTCAATTCCTGCCCTTTGCAGCTTGGTTGATTTTGATTGACATGCAAAGCCACTTGTAGGGATACACCGAGGCTATGCAGTTGTGATAGGAACATTCTTCTCAGTCCTATCGGAGATGAGTTTATTGGTAAGAGGGCTTGAGTCGTTGTGGGGCTAGGGTTTTTGTTGTTTGTTTTTGTGGTGCATCTTTACTGCTAGCTTGAGGTATACACCATTAGTTTTGAGCATTTCCCTGTTAGGTAGCCAAGCCTATATAGACACATGTTGTTTGGGTGTGTAAGTCTGGGTCTTTGAGAGGGTTAGCTGGAGAAAAGCATTTGTCGGCCTTTGGCCATGCATGCAGCAGATGATTTTGAAGCCACTGGATTGGTTGAGCACCTCTGTATGGTGAGCAAAGCCAGAAATGAGAAATAGGTCCAGGTTAAAAGGCACCCCTCCTTCTGTTCTTTAAAAATGCCATGCTATTCCTGTCCCAAGGCTTTTGCATTTGCTGTGCCCTGTGCTTGAAATGCTGTTTCCTGGGCCCTTTGCAGGAATGGTTCTTTCTCATCTCTGGCCTTCATTAAGTGTATGACGACTTTGGGAGGCCTCTCCTCACAGTGCTTTGTACAGGGGTCTCTTCCTCCCCCAGGTCAGCTTCCAGTACATCGTCCTACTTATTTCCTTTACAACCTTTTCACAATCAGAAATCATCTTCTTTGTTTGTTGTCTGTTTCTTCAAATAGACTTAAGCCCCAAGGGGTAGGGAGCAGCATATGTCTATTTACCTCTGTGCCCCTGGCACCTAACGGTGCTTGGAACATAATAGGCATTGGTAGACACATGACTTTTTAAAACTGATCATATCATTGTGACTGGATTATGCAGTTTGAGATTTTTGAACAGCTAGCCCATCTTTTCAAATGCTGTAAAGCAACAGTTCTCAAAATGTGGTTCATGGTCCTCTAGGGGTCCCCAAGATGCTTTCAGGTGGTCAAATCCATCTTCCTAAGTATACTAAGACGTTATGTTGTCTCCTGAGTTTACATTTGCACTGATGTGCAAAGCAATGGTGGGAAAACTGCTGCCTCTTTAGCAGAAATCAAGGCAGTGACACCAAAGGGCCCTAGGTGTTGTATTTATTCTTCATGATCACACTTTCACAGAAAAGAAAAAAAGCCAGTTTCATTTAAAAATGTCCTTTTGAAGCAGTAAACATTATTAATTTTCTTAAATCTTAACACTTGAATAAAAACCTGTTTGATATTTTGAGGAAATGGAAAGTAGGCAGAAGGCTCTTCCATCAAAATACTAAGGTACAATGGTTATTTTGAGAAAAAGTACGTGTGTGATAGCTTGAGTTGTCAGCTGACATGGCCATGTTTTTCATGGAACACCATTTTTTTGACACAATAACTAACAGGCAAACTACGCTTATTCAGACTTGGGTATTTAACAGACATTTTTTGGAAAATGAATACAGTGTGGCACTTCAAGAAAACAACTGACAGTACTTGTTGCCAGTGATCAAAATCTGAATTTCCAAGGGAAAATTATAATTTTGAAAAAGTTGTATCTGCCACTTGACAGCTTTCCAGTATTTAGAAACTGTGCGGCATTCGTTATATTAATGAATGTATCTTTTTGCAATTGTATAATGAGATACGTCAACATCTGGAAGGTATGCATAGTTCAGTGAGCCATTATTTTCCAAGTGACCAACGAATGACCCATTTAAAGAGCAAAGCATACCATAATATTTAAATGTAACAAAGTATGAAAAGTTCATCAGTATGGGTTCAGATTCTGCACTGCCATTTATTCATTTTTGGTGTA